CATTAATTTCCCCAAGCTATGTGGGCAAATACCTCACTGTCAACATAACTAACTTTATATCAGTCAACATTCATTGTGTACTCAGCTGTGCACGGGTCTGGTCCCGTTGGCTGTATATGGTACATTTATCAGCATAACTGTATTAAAATGATGTTAATGTTTGTGTTTAAACCGGTATTTTATTGACATCTAGTGTAGCACTGTAATGTAGTATATTCCCATATGCAAATAGAGGTTCTAATTTTAAAAATATTCATTTTTTGCTTCTTAAAAGTTGAAATAAAGGCAAAACCTCATCAGCTGCTCCAGTTCCATCTGCAGCATTTGTGTGGTCAAGTGGCTCCACAGGGATAGCATTGGAGCTGAGGTCTGACTGAGGTTTTGGTTTATGAGGTCTCCCTCTCCTTTTCTTCACATCCTGTCTCTGCTCGGGTCCAGATAGACCATTGTCAATGGCTGTCGCTAAACTGGTCCCATTGGCACAGCCTGGCTCAAACAGTGACTGCTGGACCACCTGTGGTACTGTCACCTTCAATTCAGGCTCAGTATGATGAGTACAGATGTGCTGATGGGTTCCATTTGTAGTAGGGGCTTCAGCACACTTAAGCATAGGTGGCTCTGGAGCACAAAGCTTGGGCAGCATGTCTTGGTCCCCATTCAGCACACGAGAGGTGAGGTCTTTGAGCCTCTCGTGGCTGTGGTTGTTATGAGTGTGGCCGGCCATCTTCTGAAGGACACCGTCTTGTAGTGTGGCGGCCAGCTGTGCAGCAGCTTTGTCCATCAGCATAGCAGGGTCACTACTCATGTCCCCCCGACCTTTCCGTACACTGAGGGACTCTGGTGGCTGCTTCATGCTGATCGGGTTGGCTGGTTCAGGCATCGAAGGCAGTGAGCTACCTTTGCTGTCCATCCCCTCTAACCCTCTCCGGGATCACTGAGCTACAAGACAGGAAACACAGAAACTTCTCAACCCACAGCAGGTTCACCCAGAAAACATTAACAATACCGTGCAATCAGTTTTTGGTGCTCTTCACTCTCTCAATTTGTAAAATGGCATTCTGGGATAGGAATCCTATGAGCATAACGTTACACACTTAACAAAATGGCACACACTTGCTCCAGCGTAGCATTAACAGGGAGACTGGAGGAGACAGAGATCCCTGCACCTGTCGCGCAACGTTCTAGTCACCGAATTTTGGATGTTTTCATAAGACAGTCGACCGACTGGACTGACCACAAGTCTGAAGCAACAATACCACTACAGTTAAAAAAAAAATACTAATACCTCACTGGAATCCACATCTATATGGTGATCACAACTAATGTGAACGAGGTCAAGTTAAATGCATTCTCGATTATTTCTATGCATGCGAACAAAAGCCCCTGGATGGGCGGAAAACATCTTACCGCGACAATTTTAAGTGGGCTTGCTCCTGGAAAGGACTAGCTAGCTGCTAGCTGCAGTCTGTTGCAAAGCGGGACGGAGAATGCTGGCTGCAGGCTCCGCCGCATGCAGCGAATGCCCAATGAGTGGGTGGTTAGCAGTGCCGCGTTAACCACCACAACACCGGCTGGAAAAGCCGCGGAAATAGAAGCCGCTGACGAGTCCAAGTAACGCAAGTGGAGTGCGAGTAATTAAATGTATTCCACTTCAGATTAAGGTCAATCCGTTGCAGTGTTTATGTTACAATGTAATGTAAATGTATTCCACTTCAGATTGAGGTCAATCCGTTGCAGTGGTTTATGTTACAATGCAGCATCAGTTAGGTTAGTTGTAATATATCGATATAAGACAACCGAACTTTTCTACCTAACGATAACGCAAAAGTGTATAACAACCGCTCAATTATTCTGACGCTAACTGGCTTATTACGATTAAGTGGTAAACTAGTCAACGCAAAACACAAACTTTAGACAGCGGTCGACCTATCGTGTCATACACGAAACGGGCTCCGACTACAATCTGAAACGGCGATTCCCACAATGTGGGAATTTCATGGATCCCGGCCACAGACAAGCGTAATCATTTTCGCATAGCATACAACTGCATCTCTCTCACTGCTACAGTCAGCCATTACATAGCATCCCAGCAAATAGACAAAGCCGCCAACCAAAAGCTATATGTAATCAACTAACTATCTTAACTATTCTCCCTGAGTACAGCTAATACGTTAATAAATGAATGGGAACATTGCTGGAAGAGTGTGGTAGCTTGTTAATAGTGCTATGCCATTGTTTCACTGATGTAGCTAGTTTGTAGGCGCCATGACAGGTCGTTTCAAAAAAGCTAACTGTGTTAGCTAAAGCTAGCCAGCGTACCATTGAAGCCAAGTCAAACTACACACTTAACCTAAGCATAGCTTGCTAGCTAGCAGGTCCTCTCTTGCTAAAATGGATGGTCGACCCGAACAAGTGTGCTTACATAATCCCATACCGGCTAATATCCTCGCTGCTGACAACAACATGAAAGGCAGTTTATGTACAGTTACCGGTTTAATTTCCTCTCGGTTGTTAAAGGGAAGAAATGCCCGTATTCATCCTGTAAATTGAAGCTTTTCATTCAAGTCGAATCAAAAGCTTGCGGGAAACTCAAACTCTCCGGCCAACCAGCGCGAAAAATACTCACTTCCGATTGGTCGGGAGCAGAACGAGCATCCAACCGGTCCTTTCAAAAAAAACCAACCGTAGGAAGTAGCTGACCCCGGTGTCTCCCGTCTATTTTTGCATCATTTCGTCACTTTGTATGTTATCTTCTATTCTGCAGTATTTACAGCCACGATATGTACTTATTTGCTTCAGACCACAATGATGTAAACGGGCTGTAATTACTATGCCTACCTCTGTCTTCTCTGTTATGTCGTCTGTCATTTCCCCTAAACCACTATACAATCGAAAAACAGTGAAACATGAAAAGTAAAAATACGACAGTATGTTGCCTGTAATCCGCATGTCAAGAATAAGCCTATCTCTGTCTAACAACGCCCAAAAGGTTGGTAGGCCAATCTTTTAATGCAAGGTGGTGATTATGACCCCACCGCTATGTTGTCACAATTTGTAAGGTAATACAACAGTTTTGTATGTATCAGGAATTTACAGCCCCCTAAAGGAAATGGTGGCCCTGGACCACTGGACCATCACCAGAGGCCAAAGGTTAAGCGAAATCTGTGGTCTAATGCCTAATATCCAGATTAAAGGGTCCCCACTGACCCCCAAGATGGCCTTCTGCCTTCTGAGTATATATCCTGCCACATGCAGTCTTACTAAGCCCTGTGCAGCCAGATCGTTTGTGTTAAAACATGACTTAATAGACCTATGTCTTGTGGCAATGTCATTAAACACAATTTTATTTAGGGAATATGATTTACATGAAGTCAATATAAACTAAAACAACAAAAGGTATAAAAAGTTTGGGACCCATGGGCTGTTGCCCATTTGCCTAGTTGGTAATCCAGCCTTGCTAATGTACAGTATCAGCTATGATCCTGAGCCAGTGCATAGCATATATCCACATCATGGCCAGAAATAAGTTGTAAAGGTCATCTGAAAAGGTGTCACAATACTATTGCTGTACTGCTTTTCATCGTGAGGTTCTCTCTAATACTCCGGTGGTCACAGGAAACCAATAATCCAAATTCTGGATGTGCTTTCTTTAAAACAACAATATAGTAATGACTGATGCATTGCTTCACATACTGTAAAGTCAAGTATTAACCTGCAGTACTAACAGAAGAAGCTAAGGGGCGTAACGTTTGCTAACTGAATACACCTAAATTCCAGCAAAAGGGTTCCTTTCAAAATAAAAATCACCATCCTTGACAATACAGTATTATCTATAAAAGTCAACTGTCAGGTGCACAGATGGTGCGCTCCAAAAACCTCAGGAAGAAGAAAAAGAAGATGAAGAAGGAGGAGGAGGAGGAGGAGGAGGTGGAGAAGAAGGAAGAATGTAGTATTATAGCAGTGGAGGAACGTTGTTGTCTTCTGTTGCTGTATACCTTCTGGTAAGCTCCTGGTTAGGTTTTGTAGGTATAACAGTTAGGGTTTAGCAAAGCAGAAGACAACCAACTGTTAGGGGAAATAGCTACAGATCCATAGGGAAACAAACACAACACAGGTGGTTGGTTACTTTATTTATTTGTTGGTGTGCAGTAAAAGAGATATTCAAATAGGCCTAATTGTTTTTAATCTAGAAGAAGAAGTGCAAATGCAGAAAATATGCATTATCAATCACTGTTGTTTAACTTTTGATGAGAGTGGAGCCCTATTTTTGTTTTTTAAACCTTAATTTATCCACAAACGTTTCACTCCAGTGCTTTTTTGCTTACACTCACACTCTGCAATTCATAGCCCTATTTGTTGGTTTTACTTTACCCACCCACAGTTATCCCGATGGTCCAGAGATCATAAAACTGGTTCTCCAACCTTTAGGTCACCACTGATGACTTGTCTGACAAATTACAATAAAACCAAAACTCATCTTGTTGTGTTATTGCATTTTTCATTAGTTTACTTTGTTCATGCTCTATCTTAAAATATTCATTTTGTCAGTCTGTTTAAAGACTGCACCAGACATTTCATTTCTGCTCCCTTGCCAAGTGTAACTTTTGCAGACACCGTTGGAAATAAAGTGAATTAAATTGAATATTTCTGTTCATTGGAATAAAAAAGAACTAGAGTGGAAAACCCTGCGTACAATGTTTCACTTGAATTGGAATTAATCAAAGGATAACATTTTGATTAACTTATATAGTCCACCACAACATCAATGAGAAGACTACTACCCATACCAAACAAGGTGAAAATTATTGCTTGACATTATATAAAATACAGATCAAAAGTTGCTCACAAAATCTTTATATATGATGTAAGTAATTTTAATGTTGTAGGAGGACATCAATCAATAATGATTCCCTTTCATAAATCACAAAAGCTATTTGCATATCACAGCCCCATAGACACAGTCAGAAATACGGGCTTTTACTGTACAAACAAACCGGAAGTTTCTTCTTCTCACACACCACGCCACTCTAATGCGTCACTAGTGACGTCACGTGGTAGCCTGGCCCGGCTAGTTGTCACCCGTGTAGCAGGGAAGGTCATGAGATGGACCTAAATTTTTCTTTGTACATTTGCAAATGCGTCTTATCTTGTTGAACGCATACACAGATTTTGGGATTTCCATGTACCACGTTAGCGGTCCTTTCGATCAGACATCTTGAACAAACAGTAGCTAGGTAACCGGCTAGCTAGCTTGTAACCTACTGTAACTGTTAAAAGGTAACACTTAGCAAGTTCAGACAGAAGAAATCGTACGCATGGCGTTAATCCTGTTTGCGAGGTCCCGGGCACCCTTAATGAAAACGTCCCGATCCTTAAAGAATGAATTCAGGAAGGGTAAAGGTAAGGTTTCTCCGCTCGTTTTTACTACCTAGCTTTGCTGCTTATTATCATGTAGTAAAGCTAACATAGCCTAGCTGTATTAGCATCTAGAGGAGTCATATCTTGACAGAGGCAGGTGGTCCCGAATTGATCCAGGAAGTTTGTGAAGGACTCAAGGCGTGCCAGTAGGTAACTGGGCATCATTTCAAACAGTCTGTTATTCATTCTTTTAGACGAATAATCAAAAACCTTCTACTATTAATGCTGGTACTGTCTGTATGATTTAGGGTTATCATCTCGCGAGAATGGGCATTTCAAACGATCACACCTTGTCGCTGAGGATGAAAACACCTGATTTCTGTTCTGATCTCCGAGTGCCCCCTCTTTCCACTGCAGTTTGAGTGGATGCTTGTTGCTATGACATACAGTCTCACATCTGCTTATGCAGCATACACAAGATATCCTTACCTGAAAAAGATGTGTTGTGAGAAAATAACTGTCTCTATGGTGTGCTGATTTTCATAATCCTAAATTAATCCAAATTCCTTGTTGTACTTCCATGATGGAGCACAGTTTATCTTGGTTGTGTAATAATGAACCACAGTGGGGATTTTGTGCCTTTCCTAAACTAGAACTGCTACTAACATTTGACTTTCATTTTGGGTTCATATACAGTAAATGTGTCACTCTTGCTTCTTGTTCAGACAAAAAGAGACATTTTATGACCAAACCAGTTTTTGATTAACTAAAAAGGTAATCAGCAGATCAGTTCAAATAATTTTTCTCATATACTGTATGCATTTTTCAGTTTAGAAGAATAATATAAAATATACAGTAGGATTATAGTTCACCTTGAGGAATAAATGTGTGATTGTAGTTGAGTTGATACATTAAAAGCATGATTATAAATAGTTGACAGGGTCCCGAAGGGGGTTTGTCTGTCTGCCCTGGACAGACTAAAACTGTTCTCTTGGCTTTAAACCCAGATTATCACACAGATTGAGTGCTTCAGTGAGGAAAGGTCAGTGCCACTTATAACTCCACCTGAGACAGACTGGGCTTTATTTTCCCTTTATGTATTCATGTCTCTGGGCTGCACTGCTAAACCTGCTGACCCCGCAACTCAGCCCTGGATATGCGGTTGATATTGTTGTACCCGGTACTTTTTACCATACTGACTCCGAGAGACGAGACAGTTCAAGTAACTACAAAACAGTGCTGATTTATTCCATGAACACAGGTAAAAATTAACATTACACGCTCAGGTATCTTGCACCTCCAAACTGCACGCAGGCAGATGAAAGATGAAAGACCCC